CCCAGGCACATCCAGCTGGCCGTGAGAAATGATGATGAGCTGAACAAGCTCCTCTCCTGTGTGACCATTGCTCAAGGAGGGGTTTTGCCAAATATCCTTTCCCAGCTCCTTCCCAAGAAAACTGTCAGAGATGCTGCTCCTTCTCAGGAACAAGGTGGTAGCCGGTGAAACTTGCTTTTCCTGGTCTGGTCACTTATGGATGATAGGACTTGGTAGCACTAATTTGTATGTGTTTTGCTTCTTTGTCAAGTGTTTTTCCTGCTAATTTTAATGCATTTTTAAAGCTTGTAATAAAGTTCCTAGAATGCAACGCTGTTCTCCTTTCTCTTCTCAGGTCCCCTTCCGGGGATGGAGGAACACAGAAAATGTCAAAGTCTAGCATACCACCCAAATAACTTTTAAAAAAAAGTCAAGTACATGTCTACTTTTGAAAACATGTTACAAGTAACTGTTATGGAGCAGGCAGAGGAGTCAAGACACACTGCCATTCAGGTTCATGTGAACTTTTCCTCCATCGCAGATTCATAGTGCAATTGGTTCAGTGCCTCAGAGGTTGTTTAACTCTGCTTTAGAAGTTAGTAACCCTGTGCTTTGAAGTCTTATTGCTTGTAAAGCTGTAGTGAACAACTACTTGTCTTTAGACAGCTCCAACATGACTAAACCTCTATCCCCTCCATCTTGTCATAATAACCATAGGCAGCTTATTTAAAACCTGGTGCAATATTTGTGCTGTTGGTAGAGGTGACTGTCTTGGTTCTGTCTATCAGTGCAGAAAAACAAAAGTCTCCATATCCAAACAAACCCCAGGCCTTTGCTGACCAAGTCATTGAAGGTCTTCCCCTAGGAAAGTGCCTAGGGTTTCTCTGTTCATAGTGGGTGCTGAGGCTTGCTCTTGAATGGGAAACCAGGGATCTGCTGCAGCTGCATTAGGATCAGTCTGCCCTCAAGGCAGTATCTCACAAATTTTATAGCATCTCGCACAGAGAAGAGCTGGTTAGGACCAGCTTCCTAAACTGTAGCTGGAGCATGAACTTTTTATTTGAAAAAGATCTGCCTGTCCTATTGAGTTTGACCTAGCTCCTTTGCCCCCTCAAGGCGCGAGGGTGTCAGAGCCTACTGACCAGGTTTTATGATGCTGACAGACGTCAGAGCTGTATGCAGCTGAGTTAATGACTCACTCCAAACTGTGCTTGCACAGAAATGGGAAGAGAGGATACCTGACTGTCATGGTTTAACCCTAGCTGGCAACTAAGCATCACCCAGCTGCTCACTTGCTCCCCCCAATGGGATGGGGGAGAGAATCAGAAGGGTAAAAGTGAGAAACCTCGTGGGCTGAGATAAAGACAGTTTAACAGGCAAAGCAAAAGCCGTGCACACAAGCAAAGCAAAACAAGGAATTCACTCACTGCTTCCCATGGGCAGGCAGGTGTTCAGCCATCTCCAGGACAGCAGGGCTCCATCACGCATAATGGTTACTTGGGAAGACAAATGCTATCACTCCAAATGTCCCTCCCTTTCTTTCTCTTCCCCCAGCTTTATATGCTGAGCATGACATCATATGGTGTGGGATATCCCTTTGGTCAGCTGGGGTCAGCTGTCCCGGCTGTGTCCCCTCCCAGCTTCCTGTGCACCCCCAGCCTACTCACTGGTGGGGCGGGGTGAGAAGCAGAAAAGGCCTTGACTCTGTGTAAGCACTGCTCAGCGGTAATGAAAACATCCCCGTGTTATCAACACTGTTGTGGTCACAAATCCAAAACACAGCCCCATACACGCTGCTGTGAAGAAAATTAACTCTATCCCAGCCAAAACCAGCACACTGACTGAGTAGACACTGTGATTTCAGGGTGGTGGGCAGCTGGAACAGTCATTGTATGCCGCCTGGTTTTCAAGAGCAATTTGATGAGATCTTGGCTGGCCTGCAGTTAACCCAGTGAAGTGAGAGAAAGTGGAGGATGCTGTTGCAATGAGAAGTAAAAATGTCTGAGAGTAGATCTTAAGCTTTGTGCATGTAGTAAAGGTGTGCTATATGTAACTAGCCTTGTGCTGAGTGTTTACACCTGTAAATGGAAAAAAAAAAAGCTTTAAAGGAGGTACATGAGAAATGAACACATGGAACTCAAATTATTTCCTCCATTTGACCATGGCAAGGGAAAGCAGGCTTGGGAATTATTTATTTGGATCAAGCAAAAATCTAAAGCAAGGTACTAATTTTGTGCAGTTTCAAGCATGGCGCTTACAGCACCCTTTGCTAATCTGGAGATCTAGGTGTCAGTCATCACGCCGCTGCTGGATGCAAGCTGCTCCTGTGAGCCTGCTCTGCACCACACCAAACAGACCTTGCAAGGCATGACCAGTGCTCAAGCAGCTTCTAGAAATGCCTTCACCTGTCATTTTCTGTATGATATGCACTGAGGGAGCTGTGTGGCCCTACCTGTACTTACACCCAAAGATAGAGTTTGTGGTGAAGTACTGGTCCAATTCAAAAGTCAATTTTTTAAGTATTTCTTTGATCAAGAAAAACCTTGTTTGCTTTCTTCCAGCCAATAGTTCAACCCATTTGTAAATTAACCAGATGGCATAGTGGTCTGAAAACTCACCCCTCTGGCTTCGCAGTAACAGAGGGTAGATGTCTCCTAACCCAGCTGCTCAGCAAAAGTTTCTGTGGGGCCAGGGCTCAACTTTCCAGCACTCATGTATTGAAGAAAAAAATTATTCAGCTGCCACCACACCCTTGACCCTGGAAAGGGCATATTATGCCTTGCAGACAGCTATGTGTGACTTCGGAAAAAGCTGGATGGTGTGACAGATGGGGACAAGTCCTAGAAGAGAGAGAACCCAATGTCAGAGATCCTGAGCTTTCCCAGGCTCTGCAGTGTGGTCACAAAGCAGCTTGGCCATTGCTGGCAGCAGAAAGAACAGCAGTACAGGTTGCTGGGTTTAATTCCTGATGACTGCAGCAAGGTGAGGTGTGCCCCTTTCCAGCTGTAATAAATTAGCTGCTGATCAGAGATACTGCAGTTCTCTGAGGCAGTAAATATTAGGCTTGTTTCCAGAGGAGATCAGCTAACAAGGTGCTAAGCAGCTCTACAAGGAGTAGTGACAAATTCTCATGCTCTCAGGGACTGTACTGAGTTGCTTTTGTGTTGGGACCTTGATTGTTTTTTATTTTGAGTGGATGAATCATTGCTCACCCAGGTGGCATTAAATGATGCAAGAGCTGGTAATGATATGGCTACCACTGTGGCGTTTAAAAGGGGGCAGCTCTTGCCAGAGGTTGTGGTTTGGGGGATTTGTGTACTAGTATTGTTGGAAAAAGAGGCTAAGTTAATAACTTCTTCAGGTGAGAGTTTGTTCTCAAGAAATGACAGCATGCTTTCTTTGTGTTAGATAAGCTCCTGAGTGAAATGATGGTTTTGTAAGTTCTGTGTTTGGTATAAGGTTGCTTAAGGGGGCTTTTAATTTTTTTAATTTATGTACTTGTGTAGGCTATTTTTAAAAGCTTATCTTTCTAAGGCCCACAAAAATCTCCTAAAAGAACTTTTTATTGTATTTTTAAGCACTTCAATTTGATATCTGATTTAGTTCCTCCCTGCATCTGAGTAGAGCTTCCCATTACTTAAAAATAACTACTAATTAGAACTTGAGAATAATTCTATATACAAGAGCAGAATTTTCCTGTGTTTGTTTTCCAGTTGCTTTGTGTTATGCATTGAAGAGTAATTGGTACTATTCAGTACCAGAGACTTTATGTTAGTAATAAGCGATGGGGCTTGTTAGAATGGATGCAGTACCATACAAGAAGATGGTACTTGTGCATTTGTAGTAGCCTGATGCACAGTGTGCTGAGCAGAGCAATTTCAGTGCCTGATGTAAAACAAAGCTTCTCTTCTTCCCATAAGTCTTGTTCCTGATTGTGGCCTGTTATCTTGCAGCAATAGGTCCCCTCATCTCTGGAAGACAAGATCCATTTGAAGTGGTTTCCAGTAGATGAAGTTCTTTCCTGCTGTTCTTACTTCAGACAAAGATATGAATTTCTAGCTCTGGCTCTCACAAGGTCATCATTGCAGAAACTGCTTAGGTTCTTAACAGGGGTAAGTTTGGAGCTTCCCTGCAGAGTTTCTGAACACTTCTAAGTATCTTGAAGCCTAGTTTGCTTGACCTTTCTCCTTAACAGCAGTCCTCCTTTGATACTGGGTCAGAAGACCTTGCTCCTAAGTTCTAACTTACTCTCTTGAAAAGTTTTGGAAATCTAGCAGATGGCTGACCTGCTGCTCTGACTGAGCTTGTAGATGCCTCTTGGCTGGAAACTTGTCAGACTTGCCTAAAGTAGCAGCCTGACCCATCTGCTCCTTCAGACAAAAGTATGAACAACTGAAAAACTTTCTGAGGGGGGAAAACTGACTTGTAAGGGAATTAGAAAGGCAGTGAAATGAGGAGGAAGAAAGGACTTAAATGCTCAGTTTCTGTGCCTGTTTGTTTTGGTTTTTTAATTCTTTCTCTTTTTATAATAGATTAATGTTAGGATGTCTGAATGTGGGAAGAAAACCACAAAGCTCCCCCTTGTGCCAAAGAAAACCAAATCAGCTCAGGCTGGTCTGCAGTTCCCCGTGGGTCGTGTCTACAGGCTCCTTAAAAGAGGGAACTATGCTGACAGGATCGGTCCTGGTGCTGCCATCTACCTGGCTGCGGTGCTGGAGTACCTGAGCGCGGAGATCCTGGAGCTGGCAGGGAACGCTGCACATGAGAACAAGAAAGCCAGGATCCTGCCCAGGCACATCCAGCTGGCCGTGAGAAACGATGATGAGCTGAACAAGCTCCTCTCCTGCGTGACCATCGCTTGAGGAGGGGTGTTACCTAATGTTCTTCCCGAACTTCTTCTTAAGAAGACCATCTTGCTTAAACTGGCCCACAAATATGTCCAGTCACAGGAGTTCTAGCTGCCACCAGGCTCCTGACCTTGTGATGTTGTTAACGCTGGCTTTCTCAACAGCTCAGAGTTTTTCATGCTGGTTGGCATTTTTGGTCTAAATTTGTGTGTGTACCTGTGCGCATGTCTGAAAAGCTGCTAAAGACGGGGTTGCTAAGTTAGGTTTCCCTAGCTATGTCCTTCAAAAGAAAAAAGTCAACAGACTACTTCTATGAATAAATAAGTGTGCAAAGGACTCATGTCCATCTTATTCCCTTCTATAAAAATATTTGTTGCATCAAACAGAAGATTTTCTTTGGAAGTGCAGTTATCTAAGGAAATCTGCGCTATGGTCTTTAAAGCTTGTGTCTCCATGTGCATGGCTGGGATCTCCTTCTACAGTATGTGTAGAAGTCTGCTTCATCTGACCACTTCAGACCTCATAATAGGCACAGTTAACTATTCGGGGTAAATAGATGCACCTGAGAAACTTAAACTGGACTGCCTTATAATGATGGTGAAGTTAAATTATCTTCTTTAACATTTGGATATGGAGGCAGGGCTGTGCTGTAACTTCAGAGTGTCACTGCACACACCTTGGTCCAAAGATGGTGTTGGAATTGTCCTCTGAGTTTCTGCATTGATGGAGTGCAATCCAAGGAGTCTTCTACAGACAGTATATAAACCTTGTCAGTACTTGAGCCTTAAAGATCTTCTAGAAACTCTTCTTAAGAATGAATCCAAATATAACTTCTACCTTTCTGGTACTGAGAGGTAGAACTAAGCACTCCTTAGCTGCTTTAAGGCTTGTTCCATTAGGATCCAGATCAAGGAAACCTGTGTGTTTAAAAGGCAATCCAGGAAGTGGCCTTTTCCAGGATCTTCCAAAACTCATCTTCCACCTATGCAGCTTGAAAGGCTACCTAAGCGCTATTAGATTTGCACTCTAGCAAATCTAGGTTTGCAATGTTATGGTGGACACACACTAGTATTAATCTGTTTGCTGTGCTGCAGAAGATTTTGCTTAACAGCTTCACCAGCAGGATGCCACTCAAACTTAAGAGCTTTATTAGGTGTTTGAATTATTCTATTCATAACACAGAACAGGAAGGTCCTAGTGTCCACCAGCTTCAGATATATTAATCCAGCCAGGTAAAAAGGCTGTTTAGAGAACTGCCTCAAGACTGACCCTACCAGCCCGAGGTTTGGGAGCCTCTGTTTCCCATATCTGCCCCATAGTAATCCATATTATGCCGCTGCTTTCTCTAGCGTAACTCATATCTCCCTGGTTTTCTGGTCTTGTGAGAATTGGGACCTTTTGAAGAATGGGCTGCAGAGAGTTCACCTCTTTGTATAAGCAGGCTAGGGAATTTAAACAAAGGGCAAGAAGCCAGGAATGAGGTATTGCGGGACTGCAGCCAGAGGACTTTCTGTATGTGAAACCTCTAGCATGTGTGTAAGCCGCAAACACCTACTAGGGGCCATGCTATGAGAAGGCAAAGAGAAGACAGTGTTGGTATCAGGTCAGCCCTAGCATAACTGGCTGCTATGGGCACTGGAGAGAAGTGATTTATAGTGTGGATAGTAGACAAATATTGTTTTGAGGGCAGCCGTAAGATCAGCCATTGCTCTCTGTGTAAACATGGCCACTTTTGGCTGGACATCTAGAGGGTGAAATGGTGCCAAAGTGCTGACCTGCACCATAAACCAAACCCTCCAAGCTGCTGTCTTGGAAAGCAAAAGCAGCTTCTTAGGGGGCTGCTGCATGTTTTTCTACAGCAGTTTCAACAGCACTGACTGTATGAGCTGTGTTTGAAGAAAAACAGTCCTCTGTTTCCCTGTCAGGCTGATGGTTACGTTTTGTGCTGTGTTGGCTCAGAGGCTTGCTCCTGGCCTGTCTGAGCCACCCACAGTATGGGTGCCCTGCAGCAGCATGGGCTTGTGCAGCTCCTGCCATGCTGCACCGCTTCCTCTGCTGTGCCAACACAGCTGCTTATGGCACCTGCTGCGAACCAGGCTGCTGCTGGGCTCATGTGTTTAAACCTTTTTTTTTTTTTTTCTTTTTAAAAAGGAAAACTCACATCAAGCTACTTGTGTGTGCCTTTCACGGTGGTGCTGGCACAGCTCAAGGGTTTGCATGGGGGCAGGAAGAAGAGACCGAGCGTGGGATGATGGCTGGAGCTGCCGAGGCAGAGATTGCCTCCAATGCCTCCACAGTGTGGGCTGTGACTCTGAAGCCCCGTGGGAATTTTAAAGGTCTCTGCCTAGAATGAAGCTGTATCACACCAGGTACATGAGTTGAGATGACCCATGGAACAGGAGGTTTCAGCAAACCCCTGTGCCTATAGAAAAGTTACCATAAAAGGGAAAATTAATGGAAACCTTTCCCCATGTCTCAGCTCTTCTGCAGAGGAAGCAAATCTTGACCCTGGCTTGTTTAAGGGAATGACCCCCATCTTCAGGAGCTGTATGGCCTGTGCTGGGACGAGCTGGCCAAGAGGCGCTGCTGCTGCCCAGGGTACAGGACTCAGCCTGAGACCCTGTCAGAGGGAAAGTAGCCATCGGGGTAGTGCTGGTTGGTCTCTCTGTCTTTGTTGCCAAATAACTAATTTAAATTAATACAAAAATTATATTAATATAAATGTTTATATTAAACTCATCTAGCTTTACCAGAAAGTTTATGTAGGTTTAAGCATGACTGCAGGGTGGCTGGCAAGCTCAAGGCATCCCGTTATTCCAGAAGCAGCAAGCTTGGGAAGAGGTGGTCTGTCACGGCTGAGTGCCCAATAGGTGCTCTGGGGTCTGTAGCTCATGTCTGCTAAACTGCAAGGAGGGGAGAGGCATCACGTTCTTGGGAAAACTCAATGGATAAGAACAAATTGGAGGAGTACTGGAATGGGGAGGGGACGTGGGGCACTGACAGGTCCAGGGAGAGACACAGGGAAAGACCGTCCCTGGAGTACCCAGGGGTCCCAGAAGCTATCGTACAGCTCTGCTCTGTCTTTAGGAATTAGAGCTGACCTACAGACATACTGGTTCCTGAAATATGCCTTGCTGTGGCTCTCCTGGTCTCTGTGCTCACTACTACAGCTCTTCTGTTGCACTTCTAA